TCAACACAGCCAGGGGTATCATCTAGTCGAGCAGTCGCGCCCTGAGCACTCCCTCGCTCTTATCAAATATCGCATGTGAAGCAGCTTCGCTGCGTGTGCGAAGCTGAATTCGACGCTCTGTACTCTTATCAAGAAGTTTCACTTAACTAATTAATATCTGCTTTGATGATCTGTGCCAGCACTTAGCTAATGATGCGTTTTCTCTCTTATGCCAGAGCTGTGCGATCCCAATCGCCGGCCTCTTTAGCTCAGTGGCAGAGCACTGGTCTTGTAAACCAGGGGCCGTGAGTTCAATTCTCACAGGAGGCAATAGGGACGACTTTTTTATAGAAATAAATAAAAAGGGAGCTTGGGCACTGATTGGAGTCAGTAAATTCAGGGAAAACTTCAGCAATATGAGATGAATAGACGGCGCATTCTTTCATTTAAATCGAATCATCATTCGTTTGCCAAGTCGACCATGACCAAAAATTAGATCAAGAGGTGGCCTCAGAAATTTGTCTTTTAGTGGAATATCTCGAGAAATCTGAATAGAGACAGAGCGCAGAGCGCACAGCAGAGACGCCTTCGGTGGGACATGACAAGTCAATTGACAGACAACAACATCGCTTAACGTAATCCCAAGCAACGAACGGATGCAATAATTTGTGATGCCGAATGCCACTGGCGCACCACTGCACCACATGCAGCGCCCCAAGCAGACATTCAGGCAGGCAGGCAGCATCCTTTGCGGCACAGCATCCTGCCACCTACAACCGCATCCTGCTGGCAGATGGGCGGGCGTACGGAGCAAAAGGTCTTTCCGTGACGTCCATATTCACAGTTCATAAAATTGAGCCACTGGGCGGAATTGGGCGTGGCCTGGTGCGGGTGCGGGTGCGTGGGCGGCTCAGCAAATCGAAATAAAAATTTATGTGCACATGTTTGAATTTATTGCCCATCTTTGGCAAAGAAGCGAGTGCCTGGATATGGACGCACACACACACACACACACACACACACACACACACACACACACACACGCACATACACGCATATAGCAATGCGATAGCAGAGCCCACTCCAGAAATCAGAAGCTGGCGTTAGCGTGTGTAAATGTTATTCAATCAAATGTGAAATCATATGAACGATTGCTCTCCACTCATAAACATTTTATTTACCTTTAATTTCGTGCGAAGCGCCTTTTATGCTTTCACGCCGTGATTTAATGTGATTTTCCCTACGACCCAGCCGCGCCACACCCCTTACTCGCCTCACCCGCCCACCAGCTTAACATCTGCCTGAACTGTGGGCGAGCAAATCTCACCCAGGCAATTGTTGAATTAAACGCACGCGATTTTTATGACTAAATAAAATGTTTTGATGCGCTGCTCCGACACTGAGCCACTTGAACGATATGTGGGCTATCCCCACGTCTCAAAATGCCAATTTCTATTTACCCAGCAGACAGAGAGAGAGAGAGAGAGAGACAGAGACAGACATGAGTTTGAAAGTCTTTAACCATAAATAAACACATACAAATTTTTCCATTGGGTCTTTGATTTATGCAACTTTACGTCTCTTTTATGGCAAACGTGAATCAAATCTTGTGTCGCTATTGTTTTTCGGGCTCATCATTTGTTGCTAGGCATTGAAAACAATTCGTATACAAATTTATTTAGTTAGGATATAAAAATAGGAATAACATCATATTTCATATAAAAGGAATAAGGTAGGGTGAAAGAATTGAAGGAGTAATAAATAATTAAATAGTACAAAACCTATTCAATTATAATTAATTTACTTGCTGCAGCTTTCATTTTCAATTAAACTTGAATATATCTTAATTAATAACTCATTTACATTGTTACTTCAATCTCAATGTCTATTATCCTCCGCATCTATCTCTATATCCCCAGGCTTTCTGCATTTCTATAATAATCACAGACAGCTATCGCATAGCCCATTACATTGCTCACTTAGATAAGAACAGATATTCAAATACTATATATAGAGAGAGATATGTTCGTGCATATACTATGACAGCTATTAGGAGCTCAGATCTTGACTGGCATATCCTTTGAATTTCCATTAGAGTCAAGTCTCTGCCTTGGAATAATCTGGCAATTCAATGATGCAATTGAATAGCTTTGGTTTCGCTTTTCCTTTTTCCGCACATTTTCAATTTTATTTCCTCTTATTTTTGCTGCGCATTTCGTATATTTTCTTCCCTTTGATTTTTTCTTTTTTCTATTTTTTTTTTTTTTTCTTTTTGTTAATTTTGCGGCTGTCGAAAAAGTTGTTGAAGCGCACCTTTATTTAAATACCTCAGCCAAAACTTTTCTCAAGATATTTGCAAACATCTGTTTCCTGGTTGCCTGCGCCGAGCTCCCTTTTTCCTCGACGCTTACCGCGCCCCACCGCACAGCCAGAGCACAAAATCAAGCTGCAATTGGAGAACCGAGTGCAGTGCCAGCTGCCAGCAAAATCGCTGATGATGAAGTTCCAATGCGGTCTATCCAATGGCTCAGACCAGCGATAATCCCCATTCATTCATTTGACAAGTTAGTCAGCTAAAAATACCCTGCAATGGAGCCATAACTAGGGTGGCTGCGATAAAGTAATTTACATGATTTCTTTTATTTTTTTTTTCTATATTCTATAGAATATTTATATTCGACAATGCTTTATGCTCAAATTTACTTTGCATATATTTTTGCAATTCTCCGAAGTCGAATAAAAGAAAATACTTAAATATACTAAAAATATTATAAATAATATCAGAGATAGCTTTTAAGGTAAGTAGTTCAATTTATTTCAGATTCTCCGTATTTAATGTAGGGTATCTTTGCGCCGACTACTTGGTGCTTGAAATGGTTCAGCTGTAATCATTTCCTTGCGGCATGAATATAAAATTTTCCATTCAGCGGGCTACTGTTGTACGTTTGTTACATTCACGGCATTTCCCAGAAGTACATGTACCTACTGTGATTTTTGTCACAGTGTACGGCGACATCATTGCGTTTTTGCTGCTTTCCTTTCCGCAAGCAACTGTTAGCTGATTTTATAATGGCTAACTAGCTGGGGCGATGCTACTATGTATTTTGGCCTGCTTAGGTTCTCAGTAGTTCTCCCTGTCCAGCTCTATCTCCGGGTCGCTCAGTCTGTCCCTCTCGCACTTTCTTCTTCTGGCTGTCAGTCGGTTTGTCTGTCCAAACGCAAGTTATTCGCATTCTTGTCCGCTGCCATTCCACCTTTAGCTGGCTGTGTTATTATGCTGCCAGTTTTTCCTTTTAGGTTTTTCTCTTATATATATATATATATGTATATATATATTTCTCCTTTTTTTCTTTAGGTTTTCCTGTAGTTTGCACACAAGTTTTTCATTTGTAATTCAAGATGTCAGTCAGCTGGGAGAACCAAAACTTAATTAAAGTTCCGCACTTTTCCGGTGGCCGGCCCAAACGTTGGCTACTGCACTTGCTGCCCCTGCTCCTGTTGCTGCTCCTGCTCGTGCTGCACCAGCTCTTATATATGTATTTAGTCAGCACAGTTACGCCCACGGGTCACGCCCACGTTTCCACAGTTCGTCTGTCTGTCCGTTCTTTATATACTGGGTTACATTTATTTTTTGCCATTCTCTCGAATGGGCGGCTTTCAGTTTATCTTACCTGCTGCACCTGCTGCAAATGGCCCAGCGATACGACTTTGTTTCGAGGAAGGCACTCAACTACCATCCCGCTGGCTCATGTATGTAATTTGATGAGCTTATTTTATACTTTTCGCTTTTAATTTGGTTTTATGTTCATTGCTTATAAGCCATGAACAGATTCCAACTTGTTGAATTAACTGAGTGCACGGCGAGCCAAGGCCACACAGTGCGCAGCGACACGGATGAAACGGAATGAAACTCCGAGCTGGCCAAAGGGCCAAGGGGAGGAGTGAAGCATAGTTCCTTCAACATGCTGCAGATCAGTTTCACTTAGCAACTGACCAGCTTAAACATCGCACTTAATTAGCCACCAGCATGGAGCCCGTGGCGAGTGAGTCGACTAGACCGAATGAGATGCTCACTCATTAGCTATGCATTGAGTTTGGGGCATCCTAATTCGGGTGTCAGCTGCTGACGTCAACGTCATAGCAACTGGATGCCAGGTCACATGCAATTAGCATATGAAGAAATCCGACTCTGCCACACAGCTTTGTCCTATTGTTGCCGAGCTGCCCGGGCAGCATGCAGGCACGTGGAAAATTTATTAAATTGGTCACCTTCTGCTGCCCCACGCCGCCGTCGCCCACACACTCCGCCCACCCACAGCCGCACTGCCTCTGGAGCGTCTGCTTGTGCGCACGCATGTAAATTTAATTGAATTACTTGTAGACCTTTGCCAGGACCTTTACAGGTTTAAGTCAAAGTGTATCTCACAAAGCCATTAAAATGCCGACTGCAGACACCATTTATGCAGATGGCTGAGCAATTTACTATGCAAAACATATTTTAAGACATTTTTTGAGCATTTGCGTTGCATCAAAGTTTACATTTTTATCTTGAGGGGGAATTTAAAAACCAGAATGAAAAGAGATCATCATTCAATTCAATTAATAAACAAGAAGTTTGCGGAAGGAATATTACTGAAAAATTATAACAGTTTTGTTTATTCTCGTGCTTGTTAAAATATTTCAGAATTCAAGAAAATTCCTTGCAAATCCATTCGCATAGAATATCCAATTGGGGTAGAGAAAATTCCTGCTTTAAATAAACTGAAGCTATTTTTCAATATTTCCCGAGTTATTCACACACTGGCCATACGCAACAACCACAAAAGCTACACATTAAGTATACGCAATCATCGCCGAAAGTTTTGCTACAAATTGTTGTAGCCAACCATCGTCCGCTGCGCTTCAGAGCTTTCGAAACTTTCGCTGCATTTTTATTAGGCCCCCAAGGTGCGCGGTGCGCGGTGCGAGGTGCCAGCGTCTATGCGGAAGAGCCCAATGTCAATGTCATTGTCGTCATCGAGGGGGTGTCGCCCACTTGGGGAAGGAAGGCGGAACACAAAATGCCAAATAGAAAGAACTACAAAATAATCCACTCGTTTCGTCGAGCGCAAACACAAACACAAGCAATGTCCCCGGGGGCGTGGCCGAAGGGGGGGTCGATAACTAAATCAGTTAAGCGAGCGGGAGAGCGAGATAGAGAAAGAGAAAGAGAGGAGGGAGGAGAGAGGAGAGAGGAGAGAGCAGTTGGCCATTGTTGCTTTTGTGGCTGCATTGGCGTCCATCGGAGGTCGCGCTGGGTCCACCACATCGCCACACCGCCCCTCTGCCACTCCCCATTTCCTTTGGCGTTTCAATGATTCGTTTTGTTTTATTTTTATTTATTTTTTTTTTTTTTTTTTTACTTTTGCGCTTTTGCATTTTGTTTTGGTTTCATGGTTTAGTTCGTATTTCTCTAGACTGCAAAATTATTTATGCATTTTGCATTTTGTCTCTCTTTTTTTGCGTCGAGCGCTTATTAGTTTCAATTTGCTTGCGGCGAAAGTTGTTCGCCAACAAGTCGAACAAATTAAATAATTTAACGCAAAGAAAGTTGCTCAAATGGGCAAAAACAAGGGTGGAGGCGGTGGTGGAGGCGGCGGCGGTGGCGGTGGCACTTCCGGTGGTGGCGGCGGCGGCAATGTAAGCAATATTTGTGTTATGCAACTAACGTTTTAATTGTGAGTCCCAAAGTGTGAATTAGCTGTAGACTCAATCGACATTTCCCGAAAATCGCAAATACTAAATAGTTATGCATAAATTCAATGTTCATTCAATGTAACGAATTTGTAGTGTGCGAAAAATTAAAAAAAAAAAATTATTCATAACATTTATTGAGTATATATAGATTTACAGCAATTTCTAAAAGTTTCTTATCCATAACCTTTAATATTATTTTTAAGTAGATAAACCTATTGAGGGATCCGAATTGAAACAGCTAATTCAACGAAAGTTGCAAATCGCTAATTAAAACTTAGAGTTGAAAATTTCAAAATGAAATCAGCTTTTGTGATTAGTCAGAAGAGAATATAATATAATAATAGTAATAATATTAAAATTTAATTATAGTTAGGAGAATAGCAAATCAATTCGATAAAACAGCTACAGTGTTAACATCATATATATATATTTCAATATTTCAATACTAATTTTTCATAATTATTCCTAAGTTGATTTTCTACCAAGAACTAAAACTCAACTCAATGAAATTTTTCTTAATAATTTCATCACAGTCTAAATCTATTTATTTAGACAATTCATTAAAGTGCTGATAAATACTCTACGTATAACATAAAACGAAAACAAGCTTATAATGACTTATATACTATACAAGACTTTACTACATTTTAAATAGAGAGCCACTTTTTTGTTTCATTTGATTTAATGATTTACCTTTCCCAGTTTACTTATCATGTCATTTATGTACTTACCTCGCAGCAATTCTCAGTGAATCTTTATTATTATGTGCACTATTCTTACTTCTTACTTTTTCTTTTGCAATCCGTTTTGTGCTCCTTGTTAACAGAAAAAAGGCGGTGGAGGCGGAGGCGGTGGCGGAGGCGGCGGTAAAAACAAACCACCAATTCCTGCGGCTGATAAAGGTGGCAAGAAAGGAGCGGATCAAAAGGCAGGCGGTGGCGGCAAGAAGGGTGGCAAAAAATAGCCCTTGGGGGTGTGCCGAAATACAAAGCGCATTAAGTTACAATATAAGAATAAATATGCCACTATATTTTTAAGATGTATTCAAAGGGGAGCTTATAAATGAAGAAACAGTAGTTGAATAACGATATTTAGCTGCGTACTGCATACTGAACATTTTGTGGATCGTAAACGCTTGGAATGGAACAGATAACAAACACACACACACACACGCTGACACACCCAGCACACAGTCATTACACAACTGAATAGACAGCAATGACAGTTGCTGCTGCTGCTTCGGCTGGGGCTGCTGCTGCTGTTGTTGCTGCATTGGATTTCCGGTTGGATGAGCGCGTTTCGTGCACTCCACTTGGCCACTTCATTAGGCTCATCTGCTGCTGTGAGCACTCGCTGTGGCATTGATGGCAAACGGCTCTAACGGAACCACTCCTGGGACATGCCGAAGAATGAGGCGGCGCTCGACTTGGATTTGCTGCTCGCATCGCTCCTGCGTGCGCCGGGCTTGCGGGTTGGTGTCGTTGCCGCCTACAGAGAGATATACAGGCGTACATATGGGTTATTAATGTGTTGTGGCAGTTTTGGGTTGATTAATCTATTAATTTGCGGCACTGTGCAAAGATTTATGGGCCAGGGCAATAAACATGGACATAATTAGAGCTCAATTTATATGGTGAAACATGCGACTAACTGCGCTCACATAACCAACAAAGTCAGCGCGGCTATAAATTAACATTTGCCCAACGATTTGATTTCAATAATGGACCAATTCATTAATTACCATTTAAGCTGCAGACAAACAGACAGACAGACAGACACACGCGCACGCTAATAACCCAGGTGTGTGGCAGTTGCAAGTTTTTGATTTCGATTTCAGATTTTCGCCATTTTGGAAACGGACAAAACTTTTGCGCGGACGGCGATTGCGAATGCCATTACAGCTGTGGCTACTGCTAATTATAATTTATTTAATGGCTCTTTTGCTTTATTTATTGTTAATTGCTGAAATTGGCTAGTCTAATTAAGCTCCAACATAATGAAGATGCAAAAAAAAAAAGAAATCAAGCATTGACAACAATAATGCATAAAAGAAACACATTAATAGAAAAGTGGTTTGTGTCTTGGCTGTGCGGCAACGGTCAAAAGCAGTGCGCAGCAAGCAGTTCATACAACACTTCTCATGCAAAGCAGTAAACACAAAAGATTCAACACTTGAATCCCTAAATTATTCTCTTTATAAACCATTTAAAAAACCAACAATCATGCTAAACATATAGAACAAACAGAACTTAGCACACAATGCCTACCCAAATGAATAAACGATGAGAAATTTGGAAATTAACTACAATTCAAAGAGCTCCTAAAATAAAAATATATATGTTTATAAAATAGTAAAGAATATTTGTTAAATACAATATATAACATTATTCTTCGAAGTACCGAAGATTTTATACTCTCCCAGACACACCCATATATTTAAACAGATATCAGTATAACTAATACGTCATATTACCAACACACTATATGATATCATATATCAACTAAGAAAATAACAGACGTACTGAGTGGATGTGTCAATACACGATAATTATATGCAATGAAAGGATATAAACCATATCCCAATGCATAATATTCGGACCACTACCCAGATATTTATGGGCTGCACATAAAAATTCATTGCATTAAAATTAGATCTAAAGAGAATGAGTTTGGTTTATATTGGAGATTATTCTCCACTTAAGAGCAAAGCCATTGGAAAACTCACCTTATCTGCCTCCGTGGCAGGAGGCTTGCGCTCGACAGGAAAAGTGGTCGTTGATGCCGCCTGCGGCATAACAATAGGCAACAATGGGAACCAAAGCGAAGTGGAGCCGGAGGAGCTTAGACAAAGCATATTGGGATCGGCCTCATGGGATAGGGAGCTAGCGTTTGCAGCCGGCGTGTTATCCTGCGGAGGTGTTAGAACGCCCAGTTCGCCATGCAATCGAGCCGTGGCGCGGGAAACATGCGTCGTTATGTGCTCGGCGAACAGCTCGAAATCAAACGGATCGATGCAGTCGCGCAGGCTGCGCTGCAGCACATGGAACTGTTCGTAGAGACTGCGCTCCTCGCGATTCACACCAAACACACGTTCCAGAAACTTCAGATCGAAGTACAGCTGCAGCGCAATGTTCTGACTGCTTTTAGTGCTCTCTGCGGCCGACAGATGCTCGTAGTGGGTCAAGAGTTGTCCGAGTAATTTCTGATTGAAAGCCTGAAGCACTTTGGAGGGTAGCGTTTGGGGTACGGCTATGTTCAGGACTTCAATCAATTGATGCAAGTAAGTTTGGAGCGAGAGACGTGGCTGGCAGGGTATGCGTATGGTGGACTGGACACTCTGATCGTGCTCCTCATCGCGCTGCTCCAGTGTCTGGGTTTGCCACAGCTGTTGAAGAAGAAGAGTTAGACTTGGTTCCAAGACTTGGATTAGGTTAATTTACTTACAGCAAAGTCCCTTAAGACCACATCGTGTGTTATGGTCTGTGGCAGCTTATCCGCGCAGCTGTGCGTGGCCAGAATATCATCGACAACCAGCTGCCAGAACTGCATCAGCTCCTCTTCGATCAGTGCACACAAACGTTGCCAATGCTCGGCGCCGGCTGCTGTCTGATTGCCCACCCATTGACGCCAGCTGCTGGACTGGCAGAAGCAGAGCTTCAGATGGGGGCACAGCTCGACCAGGGCTAGCGTATTGCGGAGCGCCTGCAACAGAGCCTGTCGCTCCGTCAGACGCAGCGCCTTCAATTGAGTCAGGTAGCTCGTCATCTGCTGCTCCGCCGTTTCGCGCAGAAAATTGATCAACGCCAATTTATCCTCGCTGCGGGCTGTTTGCTCTTGGAGCAGCACATCCAGCTCCTGTACAATGGCTGCCAGCTGAGCATCGAACTGGGCGCAAAGCGTAATGGTGGGTGCGTCGTAGCCCTTGGTGCGATTGGCCAAGCGCTTCGGCTGATCGCTGAGAGCGGCAGCCAGACTTAACGGAAGATCATCGCTCTGCTCTCGCCAGATTTGCAGTGGTGCGGGAGGACTGCTGTTCTCCGCGAGCGTGACCACCTCGTCGTAAGCTTGCTGCATTGCCTCCACCCAGCTGCTGCGTATTATCTCACGAATGCGCGCATTGATCAGCGGCATATACTTCAGCTTGTAGAAGTCCAACTGTGCTTGCGGTAGCGCTAGCTGCTGCTCCAGCTGGGCATAGTCGCGCTTGGCCGTGCTGCCCGCTGCCAGTTTGATATCCTGTATGGTCTGCATGCTGCTGACCAGCCCAAAGATGGGCTGCAGATGCTTGTCCGCCAAGCTGTCAATTTTCGACATCCACTGCTGCAGTGCATCGCACAGCTGTGCGGGCAATAGCTTTGGCGCCTCAAACTGCGGCTTATAGCCGGCTATAATGTCGGGTAGCAGATGCGCCAACTCTCGATCGCTGCTATCCATGCGATTGATGCTGGGCGCTGCAGTAGGCGCCACGCACTCCGCTAAGCGTTTAAAGAGCAAGCCATCAGCTGAAAGACAAAGAAAATATAAGTCAGAAAAATATTTAAGTATTGAAAATATCTCTCATTAACCTAGTAAGCAGGTGTCTAGGAGCTCAATGGTGCCATTTAGTATGTGCAAGCTGGCCAGGATGCGCTCCTTGACACGCCGCGGCTTGTCCTTTTCGCCTTCGCTGCTTTGACTCTGCAGGCAGTTAAAGTACGCTGTGGAACGTAGATGCAGAAACGTTTGAAGCACTTGACCCAAGTCGCATTTCTCCAGCAACAGCAGACTCAACAGGCAGTCCACTGCCATATCGGCGCTGAGCTGCTCTCGCTCCAGCACTCCGAGCACCGCCTGTTTGATGGTTATATGGAATGGACGCAAGATTTCCCATTGCTTCTGTGCCACAGGCAGCCGCTGCATCAGCGTATTCTTCGCATCCAGCTGTAAGCCCGTGCTAATGTGTCTACTGAATATGAACAGCTCTGTGGCTGCATAGAACTCCTCCTGGTCAAGGTGGGTCCAGATCAGCTCTGGCAGGCTGCTCAGCAGTTTGATCTGGACCATGGTGCTATAGTAATTGGTCAGTTGTTTGCTCACCGCCCGCTTATGTAGGAGTACTTCGGTTTCGGTGGGCGTGGTCTTGAAGCCCAGCAGTTGCTGTTCGTTGAGGCTGCGACAATTGCCCTGGATGCAGTGGACCTGCTCGATGAGCGTGCCTGCCGACGCCTGCATGGCAGCTATGGTGTCGGCAGCCTTGAGCAGGTCCCGATAGCGTTCGCTGCAGTTGCAGTTAAGAGATTAATTCCTATTTAATTTCGTTGCGCTGGCTCTCTATGTGCCACATCACACAGCTTACCCGACCATGGTGCGCAGCTCTTCTCGCTTATTCTCCACTACTGTTTGGATTTTCTTCTGCACAGCATCGATCTCGGACACGCTGTGCTGCTCAAACAGCGTGTCCACATCTAATTGCAATAGATCGGTGCTCATTGATTTCAGATTATCCACAAATTGTAAAGTTCTTTCGGCTTTCTTAATTCGATAATGGCGATAACGATTATTGTGCAAGTCGCAGCCGTTGTGGTGGTCGTCCGATTACACCGCATATGCTAACAGCTGTTTGACGAGCGATTATTTGTGGCGGTAACACGATTATTTAACATCGGCAACAGTTTTAAATGTGGATTGCACAAAATCTCGTTTTATTATTTACACTAATTGGAAATGCTTTGCAAAACACAATTGGCAATGACAATACGCTGTATCTCTGAGGTGCCCTCGTAGATTTCCGTCACGCGGGCATTTCTGTAATACATCTCTGCTGGCAGATCTGTTGTATATCCCATGCCGCCCAGGATTTGGATGCACTGATGCGCGCAGTAGGTGGCCGTCTCGGAAGCGTGCAGCTTGGCCATGGCTGCCTCTTTAGTAATAGACATTCCGTTATCCTTTAGCCATGCTGCTCGCCAAGTGAGTAGCCGTGCCGTCTCCACGCGCAATGCCATGTCCGCCAGCTTCTGTTGAATCATCTGCAGTCGGGACAAGCGCTGCCCGAAGGCCACTCGCTTCTCTGCATAGTCGAGCGCCAGCTCGAGAGCCGCTTGCGCTATTCCCGTTGACTGAGCGGCAATGCCTATGCGACCGCAGTCGAGGGACTCCATGGCAATCCTAAACCCGCCTCCAGGCGATCCCAGCACCTGAGACTGTGGCACACACACATCGTCGAGCGTCAACTGGCACGTGGAGCTGGCACACATGCCCATCTTGCTCTCGTTTTTCGCTATAGCCAGGCCAGGCACATTCTTTTCGGTCAGAAAAGCTGTTATGCCCTTGTGCTTGAGGCTTTTGTCAATAGTGGCAAAGATGATGCCACCGCTGGCCTCCTTGGAGTTGGATATCCACGCCTTTGTGCCATTCAGCAGGTAATCCCCTCCAGCATTCAGCTTTGCAGTGGTACTGGCGGCGCTGGCATCTGAGCCGCTGCCCGGCTCCGACAGTGCATAGAAGGCAATGTGTTGACCTTGGGTGTAGGGTACCAGGAACTGTTGCTTCTGCGCCTCGGTGCCATGCTGCTGCACTGCACCCAGATAGAGATTGTTCACGCCCATCACAATCGACACGGCCGCATCACCACGCGCCACTTCCTCCATGCCTATTGCATAGGCTTGGTAGTCCAGACCGGTGCCACCTGCAAGTAGTCGTTGACAATCAGGCTCTGGCTCTGCCCAATCTCTGGGTGCAGTGCTCACCGTACTCCTCCTGCACCGTGACCGACATGAGGCCCAGTTCGCCGAGGCGTCTCACCTGTTCAACCGGGTACAGGCGCTCACGATCGTGACGTCTCGCATGGGGCGCCAGTTCCGCATTTGCAAAGTCGCGGCAGGTCTTTTGCAGTATTTGATGGGTCTCTGAGAGGGCGGCCAGGCAAGCGATACCTCTGTTGCCGCTTCTGGCAGTTCGATGACCTACAAAGTGGCAAAGCTTATTGTTATTGTTTTTAATATATGTGAATGTATCTATTACCAAGCGCCCATACGCTTCTACACAGCTTTTGCATGGTGAGAAAGCTTTAGCCGCTTTTGCTTGTGTTATCCGGAAAAGCTTTTGGACGCTGTCTGCTTCGCGGAAAGGTTCGTCGCGCACTGAAATCCGATGAGCAATCGAAAACAATCAGCATGCCATAAAAACTTTTATATGCAATTTCAGAGCTCTGACGTCAGCCCATGCAAACAAAGACGGCGCTGCAACTTTTGAGCGAGGGAACAGCTACGGCAAGCAGTTCCCAATGGAATGATCAGCTGATGTGAGTGAATGCTTATTGGAATGCTTGCATTTTTACAGTTCAAAGTAAATATGCAATTAATACAAGTATGTAAGGCACAAAAAAAAGAGAACTTGAGATTTGAAGTAGTTGGTATTAAGCATGATAATATAATTAATTAATGAAGAGTTAACGTTTAGTCTCCGAGCTAAGAAGCTAACCTCACAATTTAGTCAAGAATCAAACCAAAGAAGGAAAATGCAACTCGTTATGGTTTAAGGTTTAGGAATTGTTAAATTTGATGGAAGAAAAAGCCCCTGTTTGTGAGTGAAAAGTCTTTTACAACGCCCCTGATCTACTTAAAATACATTGAGCCTACATCAAGTAGATTTTCAAGTTTGCATATGTTAGTTCTTAAGGTTCCCGTGTTGAGGAAGTCAACGGGTATATACCACGACCTACACAGCCTGCGTTCAAATTCAAATGTTGCTTTTGCTTAGGGTATCGGCTAGTCGCGCAGCGCTTTACAAATGAACTCTACTGGGTAGAAAGTTCAGCTTATAGCAGAAATGGAAAGCGGTTCAACGATTTAGTGCTATTGTCGCTACCCGCAGCTGAGAATTAAATTTGGATTGCAAATTTAAGTGCAATTTAATGACTTGCGCTGGCGAAATAAAACACACCCACTTTTGCAAACGCACTATAGCTAAAAAACAATATAGCTATATGAAGATAAGGTTCATGTAGTATTTTTCATTGATCATAAACCGTTTTTCATCTCTTCTATTATGAAATCATTTTTCCTGCATCTGCAGATGGAGCTCAGTAGACTTTGCTTTCCTTCAAAGTAGTTTTTATAATATCATACATTTCTTTTGAAGTTAAGGATAATCTGTAGATCTGAACACAATTGCCGACCCAAACAGTTCCAAAATTATTTTGACGGGTTTCTTTTATAATTTGAGAAAAAGAACATCTAAATATATGATAGCAATATGAATTATTTAATTCAACGCGGCAAATTGCGGCAGCAGGCAATCAATGTGCCCGAAGGCCTGCCGGAGCTGCTCTCCGACATAACCCGAGAAGTGCTGCGCTGCCAGCCGACCAAAGAGTGCCTCTGCCAATTCATCATCGACTATTTGCACTCGGTGATTGTCACTCGAGAGAAGGCCTTGGGTGAGTTCTATCTAATTATATGAATTTAGTCATAGAAGCTAACGAGGGTTGTTCTGCAGTGGCCAAGACCATTTTGGAGCGCGCTCTACGCCAGGTGGACAGCATTATATCCGACTTGTGCATTTGTGATCTGACTAAGGAGAAATCGGATGAGATGGCCCAGGTAATGGAGGACTGCTTCCGCAACTTCCTGGAGAAACGTCGCTGCGAGATGCGACGCGGCAAGGAGACCATTAAATTCGCCGACATTGACATGTTGGAGGAGCTCATACGCAAGTGCAAATTCACCGAGGAGGAGCTGGACGCCTCGCGGCCAGCAATCGCGAGCGCCTACAAGCGCTTCGTGGACGCCTACATGACTGCAGGCAAGGAGTCCCAGGGCACCGAGCTGCTCTATCAATACTTCCGCGACCGCGAGTTGAAGCGCCTTGAGGAACTCATGCGCAACAAAGCGGCCACCACCATACAAGCCGCTTATCGTGGCTACCTGGTGCGCCGCATGATGGACCAGCACGTGTGCCTGTGCACCTGTATGCTGCAGGACAAGGACGACGACGAGTTCATGCGCCTGGACAGAGCTGCTCGCGTGATACAGCGCTTCTTCCGCTACGTTCTATCGGTGGGTTTTCACTTGACAATTGTATGCGTAGACCACAGCCTAATACTCGAATCCTGAATTACAGCGCCAGGCCATTAAGCCGGTAAGTGTTGTAGAGCTTAGGCGATGCTCTGGTCCTAACCTGTATATATTTGTAGATTGAAGATCCTTGCCAGGAAAAGGAAACGCCAACTGACAGAGACGATAGCGCGGAGCAAGCTACAGGCACTGCGGTTACAGCAACATCCACTGCTGCTGGCACAGCTCTAGCCACAGCCGTTCCATCCCAAGTGGAGATTGAGGAAGAGGCGGCCAAACCAGACGAATCTTCTCCAGAGGTAGCACCGCCAGGTGAAGACGCGCCACCGCCAGAGGAAGCTGCAGCTCCAGCTCCAGCTCCGGTACCTGAGGCGGAGCCGGCTGCAGCAGCAGAGGCACCACCACCACCGGCTGAAGAGACAGCACCACCGCCACCACCAGCTGAAGAGCCAGCACCACCACCAGCTGCAGAGGAAGCACCACCAGCTGCAGAAGAAGCACCTCCTGCTGAATAGTATTAAGTTTTTTTTTTTTTTCTTTCGTTATGTTCTCTTATTTAACAACCATCGACAGATGCTCCCCGCGTCCTTTCAAATTTACGAATTCGTGATCTTTAAGCTTGTAAATTAGTTCAACGTGAAATTGCATATATTTAAAACGTCTCGAGAATAACCAACTGAATGAACACAATTAAATGACAACTCAGCTCAGACGAACTCAACTTGTTTTGAATATAGCAATCGAATCATTTGCTGTTCGCTATGCCCTCTTGTATCCAGTTCCTGAAGGTGGAGACTCTGGTGTAGACATCGGGGGAGATAAAGAGGCCGCACACAACCAGTCCATAGGAGACGACTCCGACCTGCTTGAGACCATTGTCGTCGCGAACCAAGGGACCACCCGAGTCGCCCTACAATTAGGAATTAAATCTTCAGATACCTCAAGATGTTTACTTTTTGATTTGCTCACCGAACAGGCGCCCCTAAAGATGCCTCTGGCACATATCTCCGTATCCGTCACATCTTCCATGCCCCTTTCGCGGCACTCTTGGTTCGTAATCGTTCTGTAGCTCATGCGTTGCAGTGTATTCGGATAGTTTAGGTTGTCCAGGAAGGGAAAAGGGGCCGGCAGCCGTAAGCCCCAACCGGTTAGGGTCACAGGGACTCCGCCGCCCACAAACGTATCGGAGGAAAATTCAATGGGGGCCACACTGACATTGTTGTAGACCAGTGGCGGGTCGATTGTCAGCACTGCGATATCGCTGGTCTTCAGCGGCCTGTAATCGGGGTGTATGACAAAGGAGACCACCCGAGAGCGTGATCCGCCCTTATCATACAGATTGCGTATGCCCGCGACGACAGACATGCGCGTTACATTCATACCGTCACAGCAGTGGGCCGCTGTGAGTATGCGATCGGGAGCTATGATCGATCCGCCACAGAAGTGGGCATAGCCGTCACGGGTTCGGTACTGCATCGACACTTGGTAGGGCACATATTCGCCTTGTGGCACATCGGAGCCGCCCACGATGCGAGAGGGCGTAGAGTCATTGGGCTGACGAGCTGTCGGAGAGTATTTGCAAATATACCTTCGGTCCATGCCATCAATATTCCTACTTACAGTTGTGACGTGCCGTGGCGGTGCCTAGGGCCAGAGCTGTCCACAGAATGAGTTCAATAAGAGCCATGTTTGCTTGGGTTATGCATACCATTTGGCCCATGCCTCAGCCTATTTATTGGATTCGACGCGAGACCCATTGCGCTAAAAATTAACATAGATAAAGCAGAGTTATGCCATTAGTTTTGATCTTGAAATTCAAAATGTAATGAGCCTTCATGCCGGTAATTGGCATATGCCTCATATGCATCGCCCTAACCCAGAAAACGACAATTAGCTGATAAACTTTGGAGGCTAACTAAGTCGCGGCTCGTTAGGGAATTTTTTCTTTTTCTGGAACTAAACGACTTTCTAGGAGAGCAAACCATAACTGACTATATAATTAATTCATATATTATATATCTGTAAATATTTATTAGAGAGTAGATTCCCGGGCAGTTAGCTTTAGTTGATCTATCCAATTCATTTGAGAATTTACTTTCGCTCAGCTTTTGATTTTTTTCTTCGCGACGCTCTGAATTGGGTCAATAAAAATCTACGATCTGATTGGCTTGATTGGACAGATGTGGCTAGAACAATAGCATGGCATTTTGTCAACCGGCTTCTCATCAAATCGGCGAATAACAATAACCGTCATTATGCAAAAGCAAAAAAAACCGAGTCAAGTTGGCACAGTTTCAGATAAGTTGATTCGTTAATCGTTCTACATATTTTCTTAGAGTTAAATATAGCTATGGCTGGACTAGTATTTTCATAACTCGAGTAATCAAAGATTTGTTCATGGTTTACACTTTAGAAATGATATAATTTCGATTTTAAATTATTGAAAAATATTCGCATAGAAACGTGCGAATGCTTTAACATACCTACACAGCTTCAAATTCAAAAAAAAAAAAAAAAACAACAATAAGATTGTAACGGTTTCAAACTAGAAAGCATCTTCAAAAATTTAAGCTCAGACGTTATTTCACTAGAATGAATAATTATAATTATGAATAATTATAATAAAATTAACATGTGATGACGTAGAAGCTACATATAAATGGCATCGCATAATGTCCATGGTGACATAAATGATTTGGAGATGATTCGGCTCACAACGCTCCTCTGCCTAGGTAAAACCGCATAATAAATCAAATAAATTTGAGTTAAATTATCTTTTATTCCCTAGGTCTGATCCTAGTGGTCATCATCTCTGCAAAAAAACACAACTATGACGATGTTGGCCGGACAATTTCTATAGAGATTCCAGGCCGTAGCACATCCAAAGGACGTCGCCAAGATGAGTCTGGATACTTTTCGCCCCCTTCTTATCACTATTCACCCTATCCGAGCTGTTATTGCCCGCCGGGCCCGCCGGGTCCACCTGGGCCTGCAAGTCCTCCTGGGATTCCCGGTAGACCTGGTATTCCCGGTCAGCCAGGCGTTCAGGGTCCAATGGGACTCAAGGGTGAACCCGGCCCTAGTGGTCAACCAGGAGCTATGGGGCAAAAGGGCACGATGGGTGACAGGGGACCACCAGGAATATCTTGTCGTCGCCGACGCAGAGATTATAATGCACAAATTCTCACTCTAACTGAGAATATAGATGTTAAATCGCCAGAGAGCACGAAAGAGCTCCCCATATTAAAAGGCGATCCTGGATTAGGCGATGAAAGGGAACAACCCAATCGCTCAACTTCTGACCAACAGCTTAGCGATGACCATCCTGAACTGCTCGACCTGTCTGGGGACAAAGACTTAGGAGCGATTGACGAAGCATACCAATCAGCGGGCTCAAGGGAAAGCAGAGCAACATGCGTCAAGTTGTGTGATGAAAAATATGGAACTTTTATTTAAAATACTTGTCAATAAAATAATGATTGTCTGTAACTGCTGCCTCTAAAATTTATTAAATGCAAATTATTATACAGCGAACAAAATGAAAATGGCTTCAGAGTTTAAATGGTTTTGTAAATTTGTCTAATGTGGATGATGAGCTGACTCTGTTCGTCAAACTCTAAAGGGTATCTTCTTGTGGGACATGCTCCATGATAAAAATTTTCCTAGCAACCAGTCAGGCTACGTATTAGAGTGAAGTAGACAGTTTTCCCAGCTCGGTCAATATAATATTTCATATTTCTCGGCTTAAAAATTAGATAATTTAATTATTAAATATATGAACGTAACCCACAAATACTTTCAGAGATACGTATTATATATGCACATATATTATATGTTTGCTGACTTACCACAACCAACAGTAAGTTCATAACGGTTTCATAGAATCTAGACTCTCAGATCTGGTCTTAAAATACTTTGGTTTAAATGTAACTTCATTAGCATACATATTCGTCGTTAAATTAACGTGTCAGAATGGAAGAGTTGCGTATAAATGGCATCGCATAATGTCCATGGTGACATATGTGATTCGGAGATGACCCGGCTCACAACGCTTCTCTGTATAGGTAAGACCGGATATTAAATCCATTGAAATGGTGTTAAATGAAATTGTATTCCCTAGGTCTGATCCTAGTGGCCAGCATCAGCATTCTCTCTGCGAAAAAAATCAACGATAATGATGTTGGTCGGACAATTTCTATAGAGATTCCAAACCGTAGCTCTAGCTCATCTAGTGCACGTCGCAAAGAATCTGGATACTTTTCCCCATCCTCCTATCTATATACACCTTATCCGCCTTATCCGCGAAGTGGTTGTTTTTGCCCGCTGGGTCGGCCGGGTCCGCCGGGTCCACCTGGTCCTCGAAGTCGCAATGGAACACCCGGTAGAGATGGTATTCCCGGTCAACCAGGCGTTCAGGGCCCAATGGGATACAAGGGTGATGCCGGCGTTCAAGGTGCGCCGGGCGTCAGGGGCGATAAGGGTAACATGGGTGCAATGGGACCGCCAGGTTTTCGTAGACGGCGCAGAGATAACAATGGTCAAGCTGTCCCTATTGAGGAGGCAGAAATGATGCGTGTATTAAAAGGAGATCCCGGACTTAGCGGTGAAAAGGAACAGTTAGATGGCCCATCCCGTAGCGATGACAATCCTGAACTGCTCGATCTGCCAGTGGACAGAGATATAGTACCGATTGACGATTCAAGGGAAAGCAGAGAAACATGCGTAAGGTTGTGTGATGTTAAATATGGAGCTGTGTAGCTTACTGTATATGTAGAAATATTTACTTTCTAATAAATTGATATCTGTTTTGGTTGAAATTTTCACTGTGCAATGAAATCAACTCGGTTAGCTTGAAAACTGCTAAAAATGATTAGATTATAATTTACAGCATAATGATTTTGTATTCAAGAAGCAGCAAGGTAGAGGTTGTTGGTTTGTATGTATTGGCCTTTACTATGGGAACTTATTTATTGAATAATTTGTCTCCTGCAGAAACTTTCTTTATAACATTAAATTTTAGGAACGTGATAATGAGATACCGATGATGATAATATATGTAGTGTCCACTTAATATCCCCTAGTGTGGCAAGCACATTAAACTAGTCTTGCTTAGTCTGTCTGTCCGACCGTACCTATTTTAAATATTTCCATTTATTATTAATATTATCTAATATTATACAATATATTATAATGCTTATTACCCATTCATGCTACGGCTCTTATTGAAAAAAAATGTATGTATATATTAGCCGCAAATTTATTTGGGTATTCGTTCAATGGACTTCTCAGAAACATTATGCCCATTTGCATCCGATAAAATCCAATTAGTGCATTGTGTTCCAAACAAATTAAAAAGGTCAAACAAAACAAAAAGAAATTTTAACAGTAATGTGCCACTCTTATTCTACGTTATTATGTTATGTTATAAATTCTGGACACAGATTCTTACGCTCTTTGGCGCACCCAATGATCTGCAAGAACATTTATTTAGCATATTAGTTTTGATGAACTTATAGAGTGTGGACAGAAATATGTGAATTGCCTGTTCTGGGTCCATTTGCAGTCATAATAGCCTTTTAACTTGATTCTCATTTCTTGCGTGAGTGTAGGAAACGAGTTTTTTTCGTTGTTTTAGCTAGCCAAATCAAGAACATTTATACTATTTATATTCATCCATCGCTGATAAGATCATAAAAAAAAACTATTAAGTAAAAATGGTTTGCTCTATATTTCAATAACGGTTTGATCAGGTTTAGACATTTGAAAGTTATTTGATTAGCAAATTTGTGTGGCAGAACCGTTCAACTGGTATAAAAGAAATCAATTATATGTTGTCCCCAGCAAATAAGTTCTAGCCATGATGCAGATCGCTGCGCTCCTCTGTCTATGTGAGTTATGGCTTCTAAATATTTGATCCTTAAAAATAAATTTATTTCCCCATGCAATTCCAGATTTGGCAATAGTTGGTGGATCGAGTGTGCCCACCCGGAATCATAACAGCAACGGTGTTGGAAGACATATTACACTTCAAGTGCCAGCTCCCGCTCCTGCACCTGCTCCTGCTCCAGCGCCATCTCCACCAAATGTGATTATCAAAAGGCCTGCCCACTATCATCCACCACCGCCACCGCCGCCGCCAGTTTTCTTCCCACCGCCGCCGCCGCCGCCGCCGCCACGACCACATCATCATCATCATCATCCGCCACCTAAATGTAATTGTCCGCCTGGCCCCCCCGGTCCACCGGGTCCTCCCGGACTCCCAGGCATGACCGGAAAACCAGGACGTCCAGGCGACAAGGGTGATAAGGGTGACGATGGCCTGAAGGGTGATAAAGGAGACACGGGCGCGAGGGGCGATAAGGGTCCCGCTGGTCCACAAGGAATTCAGGGACCACAGGGACCACAAGGGCCTCTAGGTCCACCTGGAGCTCCAGGCTCCCAAGGATCTCAAGGACCTCCTGGCCCCCAAGGCTCCCAGGGACCTCAAGGTTCACCAGGAACACCTGGTATACCAGGACCTCAAGGCGCTCTTGGACCACCAGGTTCCTCTGGATCTCCTGGTTCGCCTGGGTCTCCTGGATCCCAAGGCCCACCAGGACCCCCAGGACACCCTGGAAAGCCATCGTCACCTGTGTGGTCTGTGCCTCCACCGCCACCGCCATCCCATCACCATCCGCCGCAAATAATTTATCCATATCCTGTGCCTCCACACAAGGGACCTCACGGAGAACACCACCATCATCATCACCATCATAAAGAAGGACATCCATCTAAGCCGCATAAGCCCCACAAGCCTCATAAGCCCCATAATCCCCATAAGCCGCACAAGCCCCATAAGCCCCATAAGCCACACAAGCCTCACAAGCCTCACAAGCCTCACAGGCCTCATAGGCCACACAAACCTCATAAGCCCATTTGGCCTCCAAAACCAACATGGAAACCAACATGGAAACCCACTTGGCCTCCAAGGCCAACATGGCCACCCACTTGGCCTCCAAGGCCAACATGGCCACCCACTTGGCCTACAAGGCCAACATGGCCACCCACTTGGCCTCCTACTACGATACCTACCACACCACCGACAACCACAACAGAAGCACCTACCACGACGCCTACCACACCACCGACAACCACAACAGAAGCACCTACTACGACGCCTACCACACCACCGACAACCACAAAAGAAGCACCTACCACGACGCCTACCACACCACCGACAACCACAACAGAAGCACCTACTACGACGCCTACCACACCACCGACAACCACAACAGAAGCACCTACTACGACGCCTACCACACCACCGACAACCACAACAGAAGCACCTACTACGACGCCTACCACACCACCGACAACCACAACAGAAGCACCTACCACGACGCCTACCACACCACCGACAACAACAATAGAAGCCTCTACTAAGAGTCTACTTACACTAGATGATCAACAAAATGGGAAGACAACAGTGTATGAGGAGCATAACAGCGAAGAAGAAGAATTGGAAGATGAACGTGTAGAGGATTCCGAAGAAGATGCGGCACAAGCTCAAGAGTCACAGAACCATGATAAAGATGGAGATGGAGATGGAGATGGAGATGGAGATGCAGATGCAGATGCTGATGGTGATACTGATGCTGATGCTGATGCTGATGCTGATGCTCATGGTGATGCTGATGCAGATGCAGATGCAGATGCAGATGTAGATGCTGATGCTGAAGATCATGCTGATGCCGATGCAAATGTAAATAATGATGCAAATGCAGAAGCAGATGCATATGTAGATGTAAATGCAGATGCAGACGAAGAAGAAACGAAAGAGAATGACGATGAAAATGTGGAGGACGAAGAATACCAGGATGATAACGATAGTGGAGAGACCAACGACATAGAACCAGAGGACCCAGAGCAGCCAGTCGAAGGCTATGTAGTTCACGCAAGAAGCGGAAATAGACCAATCATTTTAGCAGTAAGCCAGCGCCGTAATCCATTTAAAGTATATGGTGACTACCTAGAGTATTAAATGTATCATTAGGTAATGAAATAATTTACAAATAACAATAAAAACATTCGAATAAATTTTAATTATAAACGGTTTGTCGGAAACTGTCTTTTCAGCCTGAAAGTATGCAAGGAAAGACTCAACTATTGTGTGAACTGCTTGCCGCCGTTTCAACTGCTTGAATTAATGAGCGTGTGCCATTTGATGAATTTGAATTTATTTTCATATATGTATGTGCAAATGCAGTTGCAGTACATCGGAATTTCCGGTCTAGGCCATGCGCTCCTTTATCCAAGTATTAAACATGGAGACGCGAGTGTAGACATCGGGACTGTTGGATGCGCAGAAAGCGGTGCCATAGGAGACAACGCCGACCTGCTTAAGGGAGTCGCCGTTAGCCATGACCAAAGGTCCGCCCGAATCACCCTGAATTGAAAGAGATATGCATTATTCGGTTTCGATAATGCCGAGCTACAGTTTTCCACTCACATTGCAGGCGCCCTTGCCAAACCTTTCCAGAGCACAAATCTCCGTGTCCGTCAGCTGCGTCATGGTCTCCTTGCACTTGGCATTGTCTAGCGTTTTGTAGGACAGCTTCTGCAGTATGTTTGGATACTTGGCAAAGGGTCCGGTGCCGAAATGAAAAACAGATCCCCAGCCCGTGAGCATCACCTCCTGATCGGCTCCGACCAGATCACTGCTGCTCACATCGATGGTGCTGACGCGTTTGTCGTCTATCTCGAAGGGTGGATCGATTTTCAGTATAGCTATGTCGCTGGTCACCAACTCCTCGTAGTTCTCGTTCATCTCGTACGACTGCACTTGGGCTCGCTGGCCGCTGTCGTCGTTGAGGTCCCGAATGCCTGCTACCACACTAATCCTGCTCGCATTCTGTCCATTGACACAGTGGGCCGCCGTGAGGACTCTGTTGGGGGCGATTAGGGAGCCACCGCAGAAGTGGCGCATTTTCCCGCTCTTCGTGAGAAACTGCATCGAGACCTGGTAGGGCACATACTCATCATCGGGCACATCGTAGCCGCCCACTACGCGCTCCTGCGAACTGCCATCCGCGTTCTCAAAGTAGGCATCCACTTGGATTTGCAATGGGGGTTAACTAAGTCCTGCTCTAGGTGATCTACTGCTACTTACAATCGATGACTGTGCCCATGGGCTTTCCAATTGAGGACTGCAGCGACGCCAGCAAAACGAGCACGAAGACATAGCTCCATTGATTGACCATGTTGAGGCTTTGGATTAGAACTGTGCACTGTCTGGCTGCGATGGGGGATTGTTGGGCTTTTATATGTTGCACTCAGCACTCATTAGAATTTTATCGAATGCCAAACGAGGCGCTAGCTGTGGGCGGTCTGATCAACTACATATGAATAGGTAACAAGGTCGTTCCATCGAAAACGATAAGCTGCTCAAATGTAGAACATTGCTTGCTAGGTAAAACCAGCTGGCGTAGTCCACATAGCTAGAGCTCATGTGGAATCTGAACTCTAAAGAGTTCATTCAATGAGAATCCCCAGTCTAACACGTGGATTAATCTGTCAGGACGGAGCTGTCAAGGTCTCGCATGCAAATTAAACCTGACAGCTGAGAATACGATAGGAAACAAAGGCCCTGATTCAAATCCTTTCGCGTCACGCGGCTTTGGGGCTGGGTGGTCCAATTAACTAAAGGCAGACGCCAAGCCAGGCAGAGCCACATCCTGGCTAAAGAGACGAAAAGGAGGGCGTAATAAAGCCATTTCGGGTTCAAATCGGTTCGTAGTGAGCGCCAAAAACCAGAGCCAACAATTAACACAGTAGTCCAAAGATCAAGACCTCAACATGCGACTACCCAGAAAACGAAGAGGTGTGCATAATTAATTCGCGCCACACACCGGCAGACGGACAGTGGGACAGGGGGACAGGGCGTGCAGAGGGGCAGCTGTAGAGCTGAGCAAAATGATTCATTAGCTGGCTTGCAATCAGGCCGGAACTGACATTTGGCAGGCATCGGGATCGACGGCGAGATAGCCCAAGTCTGTGTCCTGTGCCCGCCCAGACGTTGCCAACTTGATTTGCATCGAACATGTGAGCCACAAAAAAAAAAAAAAAAAAAAACCAAAAACAGAAAACAAAAAACGAAGATAGTCTGTAGCCAAAAAGGTGTTGATTGGGCTCCACTGAGCTCCCAGTGCGCTCCAATTGCTGCCCTTCCCGCTGGCTGCAATGAATTAAAAGAAATGTCCGCTGCCAAGCCAGCAGCTTGTTTAATCGGAATATTTAAATTATTCATTGATTAAAACTGCAACCAGATCAAGCTGCAGCCACACACAGGTTGCTCTCCTCTCTCTCTCTACCTCTCTCTGTGTTTCTCGTGTGCCACTTGTGCTTGTCGTTTCAATTTGGTTGTAGGTGTTGCTCTCGACTACAGACCTCTCTGCCGAGTCTCTGTAGGTGCCATTCCCAGGAATTGAGGAAACAGCTTCAACTGCCTCCCCTTCCTCCCACTCCTCCCTCTCTCACATTCTCTTCCTCTCTGTCGAATGCCACCCAAAATGAGACCCACAAGAAGTGGCAGCAACAAAGCGCTTGGCATGATTAATGCATTTGCTAAGCAACTCTCCGAAAGTGCATGCAATGCAATCAGAACTGCAATTGAGTGTTCTCCACAGCCATTTCAAATGCTATTCAATTGCTGGCAAGCGAAGAATGCGCGATTTATGCACAAGCAAAGCCTCGAGCTCGACCATATATTGAGATACTAGAAGCTGTTTGTCTGAAGTTAATATCTGAATAACATGATTTGATCAAAAAGTCATCACTTGAAAATTATATTATAATTGTATAAATGTATTTTAGTTTAATAAGTTCTTTGTCTGTGAGTTTAGTTGGGATATTTTTTTCAATCGTACAATACAAAGTTATATTAAATATATATAATAATGTACAATAAAAAAAAATATTTGTAATATGATATTCGATAATATAGGATGTGATAACAGACCCAGAAGAAAGGTAAAACATAAACATTTGAATATTTGTATCTACTCTATTTATATACTTTTTTTTTTTTTTATTATTTTTACATTTTTAAACATATTTATTTAACTTTAAATAATTTAACTATTTTTTTGTTTTTTGATATAGACTATTTAATATAAACAGTCAGAAAATAATTTTTAAATTTGCAATTAATGAGACGAACCATCTAGTTGAGTTTATCCATGATTTTAAGTATTTTTTAAGCATTTTATGTATTTAAGTATTTTGTATATACATATGTATGTATTGTCTGTGTCTATGTATGTATATTTTACAAATCACTCGTCTCAAGTTTAGCTATATAATATAGCAATGGCGACTTATATATTTTAAAATATATATTACATTTAGTAGGATGGCTGTGAAAAAGCAGAGAAAGAGAGAGAGAGAGAGAGGGAGAGAAACTTTATGCTTGGCGGCATATGTCGTCGACTTATCCGTTGATAGTTATCTAGAATATCTATATTTATACATTGGCTCTAATTATAATACCTTTGGTCAGGCCTTGAGCAGAAAAACTGCATAACAACTTGCATAACTTGCATTAGGTATCACATTCAGCCACCATTTCACTTTATAAACCAATCTCTGGCTCTGGCCCTGGGCGCGCACAGTGGGACAACTGTTGCCGCCTGCTGTTTTGGGTGTGCGTGCCAGATAATCGTAAGAGATATCTCGCAGATGAGCTGCTGCAATCATATTCTCTCACCGGGTTGACAGAAGCGCCTACCTGTTGTCATCAATTAGGTAACAAGCACACGCAGCCGATAAATATCCTCTGTCCGTGTGCTGGATGCATGCATATGGTTCAAGCTGCTCGCTCTGATCCAAGATCTCTTATCTGATTTGCAAATAAAAATGTATTTCATGTGGCCACATCGAAGGCACGCTTAGAGAGAGAGAGAGAGAGAGAGAGCAGAAGAGGGGGAGAGGGAGACAGAGTCAGCTACACTGCACTCATAATTTATAGTTCATGCAAAGATTTGGTGGGAGGGGAGGGGGGGAATTACCTGGGCGACTGCCTGGCAAATTAAGCACTGAAATAAACGACCAATTTACTGATTATGCAAAACATGCAATTAATTTATTCCACTCCACATTTATTCCAAAACTTCCATGCCGTGGCATTAACTGCAACTTGTTGTTGTCTCGCGAAATTGTCGCAACGAGTGGGGAAAATTAATTGCTGCAACAACAGGTGGAAAATTTATTTGGAATCGCGCTGACAAACAGGCATGTAGAAAATGCATCTACTGCTGCTGCTGCTAGCCAAGCCAAGGCCAGGCATAGGGCTAATTTATTATCTATAATTGTGGCTGGAAGCATTTGCATATTACGATTGCTAATTGGCTTAGATATAAACTATTTGCTGTGCAAATTGATTGACTCAAATAATTCTCATTTAATTTTATTGCCAAAAACTGAAGGCTTAGCATAGAAGTTTAGCTTTAGCTAGGGAGAATGTCGAGGTATTTGAATTACATTTGCATATGCATTCACTGCTGATAGGCGTTTCACTTTGGCCGTGTGACGCCTTTTGTTTTATGGGTTATACAAATCCTAAGGTAACGACCATTTCGGAGCAGTTCACAATTAAAGGCTGAGGCCCAAAGGGGCTACTGTTTTGTGAAGGTTCAGCCAGTTGTGAGCTCTGCCACGGCGGGTCATAAAACGAGCGGCGTTGCTTTAAGAAGCCGCATATAAATCACATTGAAGCCAGCGGTCGGGCCATAAAAATTGCAGTTGCTGAATATTTATATATGTATATATATATATATATATTTTTTTTTTTGTGTAGTTCTTAGCTTGGCCGGCCACACGCACAATTCCGCAGAAGTTGGCCGACAAACAAGGCCGCGCGCATGAGCCGGCCAATCAACCAAAATGTCATAATAATGATGGCGTTCCGGGCGGATCCGACAGGATGCTTATCTTGTTAACACCGCGTACCTTGCAACCTACTGGCGTTAACTGCAACGAGTCCAATAAAAACCAAATCGGGAAACGATCTAAAGCAGCGAATACAAAGTGGATTTTGTCTCTCTTTAATTTAGCAGGAATTTCGTCAAGGCAATTGGCAGCGGCAAATTAATGAAGTTCTCAGTGGACATAGGCACTCATATACACATATACATATATATAAATATATATATATATATATATATATATATATATATATATATAAGTGTGCATCTAAGAACTGAAACAGTACAAAAGTTGAGGCTTGTTCCAGTAATAGATTTGATTACTCTGAATAGTCGCCCCATCAATCAATTTGTAAAAGCATTTAAGCCGCGTTTCGTGTCAACTGGCAACGCGTTTAAGGCCCTGCTTAGAAGGCTAAGCCTCGGCCTCGCAACGCGCAGGTGTTGGCGGCGACAAGAAGCTGGAGGACAAGTTCTTAACGTCTATAAGCAATTAAAGCCACAAATAATGCGCGAGGCGATAAATTTTGTTAAGTGCGTTCACATGAAAGTTGTCAAAAAGCGTTTGAGAAATTTTCACCGCAAGCGACATACACACACACACACGCACACACACAAACACAGCACACACACACTCTGAGAAAAAAGCCCACAAAAATCTTGAGACATGACTTTGGATGTTTATCAAACACCTCTGCCAATGCGTGAGGCCTCGAGGTGTGGCACCAAGCATGCCGCACGGCTCCATGCTACACGCAAGCCCCAGACCTCAAACTTGGGAGACGACGACGACGACGACATCGCCTGATAGCCAGGCGATAAGCAACATTACCGTACAATTTTCAATTAACACGAGGCAACTGTAAAGCGGACTGAGCACCAGCTCAGCGCAGCTCAGCTCAGCTCGGCTCGGCCGCTTGGCATTCCACATGGCCCGATGGCCCGTGCTTGGCTCTGCCAGCAGAGTGGCGCTTGCAGGCACAGGCGAACAGTCTGCAGCTCCTCTACAAATTGTCTAATCTCCGACTGCGTTGCTCAGACTGTTGGCCATTTGGCTATGTGGCTATTTGGCTGGTGGTGCATCGATCTCTGGTAGCCAGCACCACCAGAGCTGACCACTGTAGACAATTTATCATTTGAGCTGCCGCCTAGTGGCGGTCGTAAAAGCTCTTTATGGCTGCTTCTGCTTCTGCTTCTGCTCCTGCTCCTGCTCCTGCTCCTGCTCCTGCTCCAACTGTGGCTCCTGCGCCTGCTCTAACCACATAGCCTGAGCCACATACTCCAAGCCAATAGCTTTTCTGCTCGCGTTTCACTTTGACAGTTTGCATTGAGCTGTCGTTCGCTTTTATGCACAAAATGATTTACTCTACTCGCCCATATGCAACGCTCTCTCAGCTATTCAAGCAGGTCTTTTGCTTACATGAAAACCAATTACATTCGCTATATTTAAGATAGAGCTATAAATTATATTTAAATA